GGGTGTGACCCTCTTTTTCGAGGCACTCCTTCATTTTTCCTTTCATGTTACTCATTTCGTCTTCGGATGGCATCATAATATCCATGCACATCTTTTTAGCTGGAAAGAAGAGGGAGAGTTTGAATTACTCCTAAAGAAAATCCCAAAGGCATACAGTGGTCAATTCTGCTTCCAATATGTATTCATTGCGTCCACCGATCACAGACTCACCTTCATGAAGAGTGTGGTGGAACTCCTGGTCATTGGGATGGCCGTCTTTCATTCCGCTCGCGACTACAGCGAATGCCGCCACCAACACGATCGTCAACGTATTCATGATGGAAGCGTCTGTGGGTTAAAGATGTCGTGACTATAGCTTCTCTAGCGTGAGTGAACATTGTCGCTAATGCAGATCAAGGATTTTACCATCAAGTGTCTTGCACAAAGCAAATATCGACACTAAAATGCATGAACTCAAGTCTATTCCCGACAAACCATCACGCACACTCATGGCTTACCTGCGTCGAGATACGACTTGGCGTAAGCAGCAAGAGGTGTGAGATGCACGTGGATGTGTTTGCAAGCATATATATGCGCGCGTTTGCCGGCGAGGAAGTGCCTGACGTCATGTACTGACGTCACCAGTCCTATTGTGGCCAAGAGATACATTTTCAGGTACTATAATATTTGAATGACCCAATTTAGTCTTCAACTGAACAATTCCGCCATCCGCCCCCGTGCCCCCCTCTCTCCCTTAGCCCCCCTCCATGAAGCTATTTAGATCCGCCAGTGGTTTCGGTGAATCATCCTGACTCTTGACTTCAAGCGCGTGTTGAGACATTCGTGGATGTAAAGAAATACGGTGAAATGCTTTTCATGAAATTTAACGGCATGGGTAGTACCGCAAACGAAATTAGAAAGACGATAGTTTCGTGGAAATCAACCATATCCTTCACAACGAAACTGAAGCTTCATCGAAGACAGTCCATTTTTTCGTTGCAAATCATGCAACGTCAGCAACCCTACGACGGGCAAGGCCAAGGGCGTCCTGGCCTGACGACGGGCTTGGGGGATCATCAAAAAGAAATTGTTTTCAATCAGGTTCTTTATCTCTCTTCCTCTATCTGCCCTATCCCCTCTCTCTCCTCTCTCTCTCTCTCTTATCTTTCTCGTCTCTCATTCTCTCCCCCAACCCTCTCTCTTTCTCTCACCCCACCCCCCCCACCTCTTCTCTCACTCTTTCTCTCCTTTCTTCTCTTTCCTCACTACTTTATTTGACTGATCCTGTCACCTGACCTGACCTGCCTTCACTTCCGTTCGCCCGTATTTTCCTTCCCTGTGTTGCTTCTCTCTCCCACTCATACTCCTTCCTCGCCCCTTCCTCTTCAGATAAGGTGAAGTCCAGGAGGATTTCGAAACTGTTTCCTTGTTTTCAGTAAATCATGTTCATGCACTGTGAGGTTTTCTATCATTGTTCAATACAGTAGTTTGTTTTACCAATCATACTAATAATTCTGTTTCAGCTACTATTATTATTAATAATGATGATAATAGAAATTATATGAAGATGATAATAACAATAATGATAATAGCATTTATGATAATGACAATAATAATGCTCATAGTAATAATGACGATACAAAAACAATAATAACAACATTAATAACTAGAAGCACTCAGAGAGCACATAACTCCGCCAAGGCAATAAGGTCACTGATGAAACAAAAATATTCAAACTTAAAGAATTACATTAAAACCTTTTAAGTGCACAGGTATCGTAAGTAACAACAAAATGATAATAACAAATATGATAATGATAGTAAATAGTAATATACACATTGAGGATAAGGATTATGGTAATAATGATACTGATGGGTGATAATGATAACAATAATGACAATAGTGATGAAATAATCGCAATGACAAAGATAATAACAATAATGAAAATAATAATAATAATAAAGGTAATGATAATAACTATGATGATGATATTGGTAATAGTAATGATGATAATAACAACAATAATAATAATGATAGTAGTCATCACAATAATGATAATTATAATAATGATAATGACAATAAAAATAATGATAACCCTAACAGCTGGAAAAATAACGAAAAACAAGAATTAAAGTAAAAGCAAGTATAAGTGTAGAAATGACGATAGCGATGATGCGATGTATGATAATGATATGGATGATGATAATCATCACGATAAAAATAATTACCATATTTATATTAAAGAATTTTATTACTACTACTAATGATATAATAATAACGATAAATATGATATTATAATAATTATTATTATGATCACTATTAATAGTATTATCATCATTATTATTACCACCATTATCTTCATATGATGATGGCACAACAGCAACAATAATACAAATAATGATAATGATAATTATAATAATATCAGTAGTAAAAATGAAAATGTTGATAAGATTAACAGTAATAAAAATGATAATGATAACAGTAATACTACTAAAAATGAGAATATTGAGAGTGATAATAATAACAATGATGATGATAATAGTATTAAAGATAATATTGATAACGTTATAGCTTAAGTAATAATCATAACAATAATAATTAGAAGCACTCAGACACCGCATACTTCCGCCAAGGCTTTAGGTCACTGATCCAATAAAAATATTCAAACTTGAAGAATTACATTAGAATAACCTCTTTCTGAGGTACACTGGTGACGTTCGTAAACATGACTTAATGATGATAAAAATAGTTACCCCTGTATATCGCGTTAACTGATGCAATCATTTTAAAGAATCGTGGGTCCGGATCATGATCCGGATCACCACCAAAATTGGATGGCATGTAAGTTCGGATAAGACACTCCTCTGGTAAAATTTTCACAGAAATCTGTTCTCAACCTTTTGAGTTATACTGCTAACCATTTAACAAACTAACACGAGCTACCAAAAAGATAACCTCCTTTGCGTGTGTGTAAATTTTTAAATTATATCTTTAATTACTGGCCCTCCACCACTACAACCTTTTGCGGATCACCTGTATTATTGCTAAGATTGAATAATTGGGTTTAAAGGAAACATTATTACTATTCAGATATATCATGAAAATTCACACACAATGCACACAAAATACTAAAATATTTTATGAAAATGGAATGAAAGAAAATGAATGTAAATTTGCAATATAATTCATGTAAAGAAAATTAATATTACGCTTTTGGTACACTTTGTTCATGTGTGACCAATGTTCGTTAACTCAATAGTCATTATTTCCACACTAGATTTCTCACGTAAAGTCCGTGTGCTGATATGTCCTCGCTTTCTTCACTTTGCCTTACTTCTATCTCCTCTTCTCACTCCTCCTTACGCCTCATGCCTCATGCCTCACGCCTTATACCTTAGCTCTCACGCCTCACGGATGCAGACGGGCGCACTTATTGGTGACGCGAATCAGCACTTTTCTACTACACACCGGAAATCCTATTAATTTATAGAAACCTATTTTAATTCATTTCTTTACTTTCTTTTTGTTCACTTTTAATGTCACTTTTCTACGTTTAATAATAAGTTAACAAGTGTTTATTTTTCCTTACCGAGGATTTGCAAAGCAGTTGTTGATTGCCTCCTCGGGTGGGCATGTCTCGTCTGGGCAGCTGTGCGTGTGAATGTGACGTCACACTAGGGGAATTCCCTGGACATTCACTAATTTCATTTTCATTTTTTAAATTTGATTTTCTTTTTTTTCTTTTTATTTATGTATCACACGTGTTCAGTTTATTTATATTGGTCACATTTTTTTTATTTTCTATTTATGTATTTCTTTTCCATTTTCTTTGGTCACGCAATGGATATTGGTCACTTTTCTTAGGTCATTTGTTTACTCAGAAATAATTACAATGTTTCCATAGAAAAAAAAAAATCTATTATGTGTGCACAAAATACGCATAATCCGATCTGCATTCATTTACTCATTCAACATTTTATTTCATTCGAATGCACACTTCCTCATACACGTCACTGCTTCACAGGACTTCGTTCACACTTCGACTCGCACACTCACTCACTCTTAGCAGTCGCTACGTTCACGTAGGATAATGATCCTAACTGCCATTTGACCTTCTTTCTGACATTTAATTGCATTCCTTACCCTTTCATATATAAATATATATATACACATTAGTATGTATGTATATATAAATAAGCATATGTATATATATATATATATATATCGATATATATTTGCATAAATATATATATATATATTCATTTATTTATTCATATTAAATGAATGTACGCATATTTATATACATATGCATATATGCATGCATATACATATATATGAATATATAAACATATATACATGTATAAATGTATATGTATATGTGTGTGTGTGTGTGTGCATGCATATATACATATGCACACACATATGTATATAAACACATTTATATATATAAACAAATGTGTGTGCGTGTGTGTACATATATTGTTATGTATACATATACATACACCCTTATATATATGTAAATGTATACATATATATTATAAGTATATATGCATTTATATATATACAAGAGAGGGAGAGAGAAAAAAAATCTTTTTAAATGTAGTCTTTTCTTTTATTTCTTTTACCTTATCTCTCACACGATTTGGATTTTTAAACATACTTCCTCGTGTTTGTGCTATTTGTTGAAAACAACAAAAAATAAATTAAAACTGTGAAGCATATAAAATGCATGGGTTGAGCGCGTGTGCGTGCACGTGGCTGCGTTGTGCATGTCCAGATGGATCAGTGCATCCGTCACAGTCCTCTCTCTCGAGGGTTCGGACGAGACCTTCCTTCGGGGCTTTCCCTTGGCAGGCGGAACCCCGAGGGGATGCCATCAGGCTCCACAGCCGGGAGTTATTTATATCTGCCTTTAGGAGTGTTGCTCTGCCAGGGCATCATTCTCGGAGGATGTCAAATTTACCAATCGTTTGAGAAGGTATCAGATTACCAATGAAGGTATCATATTAAAAATACACATATATGCTGCAGTCTTTATTTTGGGAGGAAAATGGGTCAAGATGTTGCATCTATTGACTACAATGTTTATAGGTTTGCTGTGTTGCCTTATGAGGGTATCATTCGTAGAGGATATCAAGTCAAAAGCCAGGGATCCATATTCGCAAAGTCAATGCTTCCTTAGACACTTATGAATTTGAACACTTCGCTAATAGTTTCTCTTCGGTTAGGCTTGCAACCACGTTCATAAGGCAGGAGTTCATAAGAGACTTCTTGAGCTCCATGAAATGTAATAGCTGAAAGGCAGAAGAAGCTCGGATGAAAAACATGCACCTGAAGAGAAATGTAAATATGAAGTGAATTCACAAGAGTGCCGACTCATGAAATACACTCAATACTCACGTCAGCTTCTAGGGGTTCCTCAGACAAGTTGGAAAGGGCTGTAGATAAGGCCTCTTTTGCTACTGAATCCTCTGCTGCATCAATCTTTGTTCGCAGAAGTTCCATGACCTTAGTTACGTTGACCTCCTCGCCATCCTGAAGAGAAAGACAACAAAGGGGTCCTCTACATCACCAGCATCTGGAAGCTAAGATGGTTAAACTATATACTGAAACTCAATGCGAATATTTAGCACTTGTGAGTACACACGTACCAGGACTCCATGGTCTTCGAGGGCGCACAGCGACACCAATCTTCGGCTTTCAGCCGAGATACCCTTGAGTTCTTCGCGGAAGCACAGCGCGTGCTTTAGGTGGGGCTTCTTGTCGGAAGCCAAGGCAGGGTGTGAAGCTGACCAAGGCCAGAAAAAGGCGATTAGTAACATGTCCGCAGGGAAATCTCATGCAATCATCAATGGCATTGATGTCTGCTTGAGAAATATACAATAAAGTCCTGAAATGGCTGTCAACATATCCTAATTTGGTCGATTAAAAAAAAAAAATAATAATAAATAATGATGATAATAATAACTTACTCAAATGGGTGTGACCTTCTTTTTCGAGGCACTCTTTCATTTTTTCTTTCATGTTACTCATTTCGTCTTGGGATGGCATCATAATATCCATGCACATCGTTTTAGCTGGAAAGAAGAGGGAGAGTTTGAATTACTCCTAAAGAAAATCCCAAAGGCATACAGTGGTCAATTCTGCTTCCAATATGTATTCATTGCGTCCACCGATCACAGACTCACCTTCATGAAGAGTGTGGTGGAACTCCTGGTCATTGGGATGGCCGTCTTTCATTCCGCTCGCGACTACAGCGAATGCCGCCACCAACACGATCGTCAACGTATTCATGATGGAAGCGTCTGTGGGTTAAAGATGTCGTGACTATAGCCTCTCTAGCGTGAGTGAACATTGTCGCTAATGCAGATCAAGGATTTTACCATCAAGTGTCTTGCACAAAACAAATGTCGACACAAAAATGCATGAACTCAAGTCTATTCCCGACAAACCATCACGCATACTCATGGCTAACCTGCGTCGTGATACGACTTGGCGTAAGTGCAAGAGGTGTGAGATGCACGTGGATGTGATTGCAAGCTTTTATATGCGCGCGTTTGCCGGCGAGGAAGTGCCTGACGTCATGAACTGGCGTCACCAGTCCTGCTGTGGCCACGTGATACGTTTTCAGGTATTATAATGTTTGAATGAATGTTCAGTCTTCACAACTGAACAATTCCAAGAACTAGTGCCCACAAAAGGATGTATGTTTTCTTGTTGCTGTCCTTTTGAGCCCAACTGATGTGGTCACAGAAAAGAGTGCTAAATGTACAGCAATGCGTCAGATACGATAATGAATCGGCTTTGTTGAGCAAAGGCAGTTGTTCACATTTGTGAGAATTATTTCAGCTTTTCAATGCCGGCTTTGAAGGCGACCGTTCAGTGCCAAGATGATCCTTCATGAAAAGCATCTACGCGCTTACTAATTAGCACTGGTGCACATCCCACCACATTGGCTCCTCACAATTTCATTGTCTCTCCCTAAGTCCAAGCACCAAGCTCGAAATATCTGTAACAAAGTTCAAGATCGAGGGTTCACGAGGCCGCAGATGACAGGGGCCACAGGGGTTACGTCCCCCAAATCTCACAGGGACCCCAACCTGGTCCACCACTACTTTCCTACACTTTGGCATCTCACTGACTCATTAGCACCCCACTCAAGCGATCATCACCTTTCACTGCCTTTCTCTCAGACTGAAGCACTGCAACCGAATTTCTCTCACTCTGTATATATTCATATATGTGTGTGTGCGCGCGTGTGTGTATATATACGCATAACGATTACATTACTTACATTTAAATATATATAATGCATAAAAGAATAATCATATATTTGGATATTTCTAATACTTATATATTTGTGTATATATGCCTACATATATATATATATATATATATATATATATAATATATATATATATATATACATAATATATAAATATATATATATATATAATATATATATATATATATTATATATATATATATATATATATAATATATTATGTATATATATATATATATGTGTGTGTGCCTATATATGTATATATATATATATATATATATATATATATATATAGTGTGTGTGTGTGTGTGTGTGTGTGTGTGTGTGTGTGTGTGTGTGTGTGTGTGTGTGTGTGTGTGTGTATGTGTGTGTGTGTGTATACGTATTTATACATATGTATATATATATATATATATATATATATATATATATATACATTTATACATATGCATATATATATGTATGTATATGTGTATATGTATGTATATATATGGATGTATATTTGTATATGAATACATGATATATGTATACATATATACATATATTAATATATATACATATATATAAATATATATGCATAAATATATACATAAGGGTGAATGTAATTAACAATGCAATTATCTCCCTACAACGATGGCATGTGTTTGTATTACTGCAAAGGATTGATGTCTGACTAAGCTCGCGTCCCAGAGACTGGAATAGATCACATAAACCGGTTCAGTTAAGCGAGATTTGCGAAGTCGAGCCTCCCCCGAGCCTTTCCTCTAGAGTGGCCCGGCACATACACCACGTGCATTTCCTTTTAAGAGTTTGGACGAGTATTTGTGAAACTCGGATCGGTTGCGTGTCCACAGTCTGCCCAGGTCGCTGGAGGAAGCAGTAGGTTGATAGAATGAAGCTGTCTTCAGGTTCGGGCAAAATTAAATCAAAGTAAAATCTTATTCAAATTCGGATTCACCGACATCCGCCCCCGTGCCCCCTCTCTCCCTTAGCCCCCTTCCATGAAGATATTTAGATCCGCCAGTGGTTTCCGTGAATCATCCTGACTCTTGACTTCAAGCGCGTGTTGGGACATTCGTGGATATTAAAAAATGATGTGAAATATTTTTCATGAAATTTCACGGCATGGGTAGTACCGCAAACGAAATTAGAAAGACGATAGTTCCGTGCAGAGTAAGCATATCCTTCACAGCGAAACAAAAGCTTCATCGAAATCAGTCCACTTTTTCTGCCTTTCATATTGCAAATCATGCAACGTCAGCAACCCTACGACGGACAAGGCCAAGGGCGTCCTGGTCTGACGGCGGAATGTACTGGAATTTTCCGGATAATAAAAAAAAAAAAAAAAAAATTATAAGGTTTTTTCTCTCTCTGCCATATCCCCTCTCTCCCCTCTCTCTCTCCTTTTCGTCTCTTTTCTCACCTTCCCCCCTCTCACTCTCTCTCCTTTCTCTTCTCTCCCTCACTACTTTATTTGCCTGATCCTGTCACCTGGTCGACCTGCCTTCACTAGAAGCACTCAGAGAGCACATACCTCCGCCAAGGCAATAAGGTCACTCATGTAATAAAAATATTCAAACTTAAAGAATTACATTAAAATCACATTTTAAGTGCACAGGTATCGTCCGTAAGTCCGTAAACAACAAAAATGATAATAACAAATATGATAATGATAGTAATAAAAGTAATATACCCATAGCCTCTAATAATGATTATGGTAATAATAATACTGATGTGGATGATAATCATAACAATGACAATAGTGATGAAAATAATGGCGATGACAAAGATAATAACAGTAATGAAAATAATGATAATAATAATAAAGGCAATGATAATAATTATGATATATGTAATAGCGATGATGATAACAAAACTAATAATAATGATAATTATAATAATGATAATGACAATAAAAATAATGATAACTCTAACAGCCGGAAAAATAACTAAAACAAGAATTAAAGCAAAAGCAAGTATAAGTGTAGAAATGATGATAGCGAGGATGCGATGTAAGTATGATAATGATATGGATGATGATAATCATCATTATCACGATAAAAATAATTACCATATTATATTAAAGAATTTATTACTACTACTAATGATAATAACGATAATTAGGATATAATTATTATTATGATCACTATTAATAGCATTACTATCATTATTATTATTACCACCATTATCTTCATATGATGATGACACAACAGCAGCAACAATGCTGATAGTGATAATGATAATGATAATAATAACAGTAGTAAAAATGAAAATGTTGATAAGATTAACAGTAATAAAAATGATAATGATGACAGTAATACTACTAATAATGAGAATATTGAGAGTGATAATAATAACAATGATGATGATAATAGTATTAAGGATAATCTTGATAACGTTATAGCATAAGTAATAATCATAACAATAATAATTAGAAGCACTCAGACACCGCATACTTACGCCAAGGCTATAGGGTCACTGATCCAATAAAAATATTCAAATTTGAAGAATTACATTAGAACAATCTTTTTCTGAGGTACACTGGTGACGTTCGTAAACATGACTTAATGAAGATAAAAATAGTTACCCCTGTATATCGCGTTAACTGATGCAATCATTTAAAGATTCGTGGGTCCGGATCATGATCCGGATCACCACCAAAATTGGATGGCATGTAAGTTCGGATAAGACACTCCTCTGGTAAAATTTTCACAGAAATCTGTTCTCAACCTTTTGAGTTATACTGCTAACCAATTAACAAACTAACACGAGCTACCAAAAAGATAACCTCCTTTGCGTGTGTAAATTTTTAAATTATATCTTTAATTACTGGCCCTCCACCACTACAACCTTTTGCGGATCACCTGTATTATTGCTAAGATTGAATAATTGGGTTTAAAGGAAACATTATTACTATTCAGATATATCATGAAAATTCACACACAATGCACACAAAATACTAAAATATTTTATGAAAATGGAATGAAAGAAAATGAATGTAAATTTGCAATATAATTCATGTAAAGAAAATTAATATTACGATGTTACCTCGCTTCTGGTGCACTTTGTTCATGTGTGACCAATGTTCGTTAACTCAATAGTCATGATTTCCACACTAGATTTCTCACGTAAAGTCCGTGCTGATATCGCTTTCTTCACTTTGCCTTACTTCTATCTCCTCTTCTCACTCCTCCTTACGCCTCATGCCTCATGCCTCACGCCTTTTACCTTAGCTCTCACGCCTCACGGATGCAGACGGGCGCACTTATTGGTGACGCGAATCAGCACTTTTCTACTACACACCGGAAATCCTATTAATTTATAGAAACCCTATCTTAATTCATTTCTTTACTTTCTTTTTGTTCACTTTTAATGTCACTTTTCTACGTTTAATAATAAGTTAACAAGTGTTTGTTTTTCCTTACCGAGGATTTGCAAAGCAGTTGTTGATTGCCTCCTCGGGTGGGCATGTCTCGTCTGGGCAGCTGTGCGTGTGAATGTGACGTCACACTAGGGGATTTCCCTGGACATTCACTAATTTCATTTTCATCTTTTTTAATTTTATTTTATTTTTATTTTTTTTATATATGTATCACACTAGATCAGTTTATTTATATTGGTCACATTTTTTTATTTTCTATTTATGTATTTCTTTTCCATTTTCTTTGGTCACGTAATGGATATTGGTCACTTTTCTTAGGTCATTTGTTTACTCAGAAATAATTACAATGTTTCCATAGAAAAAAAAAATCTATTATGTGTGAACAAAATACGCATAATCCGATCTACATTCATTTACTCATTCAACATTTTATTTCATTCGAATGCACACTTCCTCATACACGTCACTGCTTCACAGGACTTCGTTCACACTTCGACTCGCACACTCACTCACTCTTAGCAGTCGCAACGCTCACGTAGGATAATGTTCCTAACTGCCATCACCTTCGCCTTGCTTCCTAACTGTGACATTTAATTATATATATATATATATATATATATATATATATTATATATATATATATATATATATATATATATGAAAGGGTAAGGAATGCAATTAAATGTCAGAAAGAAGGTGAAGTGGCAGTTAGGAACATTATCCTACGTGAGCGTTGCGACTGCTAAGAGTGAGTGAGTGTGCGAGTCGAAGTGTGAACGAAGTCCTGTGAAGCAGTGACGTGTATGAGGAAGTGTGCATTCGAATGAAATAAAATGTTGAATGAGTAAATGAATGAGATCGGATTATGCGTATTTTGTTCACACATAATAGATTTTTTTTTCTATGGAAACATTGTAATTATTTCTGAGTAAACAAA